TGACGGAGATGTCTTCCTCTTAAGCTGTAAGTTTAGCAGAACCTCCTTCCATTAGTTCTGCATTCAGGTCAATGGCACATTTTTTTGGCTGAAATACGCTCGGGTACTTTCCCAATAGTAGCGACATCGTAGCTCTAGTACCACAGGTGCCTATTTCTATGCTTTTGGGGTTTTCAAACAGTCTATACACCAGTGCATGACGCCCAAAGTTGCCTTGCCAAAAAATTCTATATTGAATTGAATATTGAATAGCGGAAATCGGGAAGCCCTGATTCTTCATGTTCCGAAATGATATGGACTTTCCTTTGGCAAAAGTCTCGAGTTCGTTTTGCCAGCTGCTCTATGTTTATGGCTGTGCTAACGTAGTTCCTAACAACCAAACTATCATGGTGTATATCTATATAAACATTTTCGGGCTGCGTTCGACCGCTAGACGATTGCACGTTGCTCTGGATGTTGTTGCGTTTACGTGTTTTTTTCTTAAAAATTTGGTGTTCAGTATAAGTTTTACTGAACTCCATTTAGGGTTCTATTTTTCATGCTCGGAAATACCATCTTGAGCCCCATCTTTTGGAGCCAAACTTTCGTTTGTGTAGGCCTTTTATTCGAAAGCAGTTAGAAGAGGTCGTCTGACGGGGAACTCACCTTATTTGACGGACAAAAGCAATATCCACTTTTTTGTCCATATATTTTATGAGACAGCTGACTTTAATCTCTTTTGCTGGATAAACAAAAATCAAATTATGGGACTGTCTTATTACTACATAGGTTGGGTTAGCTTGAAGTGGCTGTCAGTGACTCCACTACCATACCTAGGCACTTAAATTGAGAGTCCGTTGTGATACCACGCGAATCGCTAGAAGCCTCATACTCAAACCCACGCAATGAGTCTGCGAAACCCAAAAATTGTCGTATGCCTATTTCGGCTATTATTCCGCCAATGTCGGTTAAATCTTCGAAAAACTCCGAACCCATGNCTCAAACCCACGCAATGAGTCTGCGAAACCCAAAAATTGTCGTATGCCTACTTCGGCTATTATTCCGCCAATGTCGGTTAAATCTTCGAAAAACTCCGAACCCATATTACAAAGTGTGGGACATATGCAAAACAGATGCCGCAAGGCTCTTATACATTTTTGCAGAAGTCGTTATGGTGAACCCTTAACCTCACTACGTGCCTTCCGATGGCAACATGAGCTTTTAGCAGGCCAATGGCTGCGACTAAGTCCGCTCTACTGAACACAAAGAGATCATTTGGCCCTTTCTCGTTTCATGTGGGCCACATAAGTTGCAGCAATGCAAGTGGTGAGAGCGACCCACCTGTCACTTCAGATATATCCCTTATAATGAGCTTTCAGGTAGCCAGCGGTATGCCTTTATACCTTCAAGTATTCAAGCGACTGCTGACTAAAATTCTCTAACTGGAATAGAATTCCTATACCTTTTTGTGAAGTTTAGACTTGGTAAAGAGTAATCTTACCACATAGAGTATCCTAGACCATCCGTCCACCCCTTTTAAAATGGAGGAAAACGTTTTTTTTTTTATTGAAATACGAAAAATATGAACTAACAAGCCGAGATAGAGCACCTTTTAGTTGTACTACCGACTTCCGGTCCAGACTGGAAGGCGATTAAACTTACCGAAAGTCCAACTTTTGTTTGAAACTTTTCGGTCGAAACCATAAGTTGGTAATACCATCAAAATATAGAGCATCCCGGACTTGTTAGAAGGGGTGAACGGGTGGTCTAGGAAACCCTGTATATTATTACTATACCTAGACGAATAAATAAAACTCGATGCAGTTGTTTCCTTAACGAGCTAGCCGATGTCAAGCAAAGTTCCACAGATTAAGAAAGTATGACAAAAACCGTTGTTGCTGTCATTCGCCTAAAACTATTTTCACATTGACAAATTCACTTCATTGGAACAAATTATCACTATTCACAGAAATCAGGCATCACTAATGTACTACTTTTTTCTCCGCATTACTATTTAAGTACTAAGTAAAAAATGTCTACTATCTTTTTTCCAGGCCTGCGGTCACTTTGTTGTTACTCCGAAACTAATGACACTCGCTAGCCGCCGCACGATTGTCATGCATCCATTGCCACGCGTGTTCGAGATTAGCAAGGAATTCGACTCGGATCCACGTGCAGCCTACTTCCGTCAAGCGGAGTATGGTATGTATGTGCGCATGGCATTGTTGGCAATGGTTGTCGGTGCAAGGAACTAAACTAAATAGCAGCTGCAGCCATATAAATTCCAATGATAGAAGAAAAAGACATTTTATTTATGTGATTTTACAAATATTTTTTTATAATTTGTGTATTCTTATAAAAACTAGCAAGTATATTTTATAATAAAACTTTGACTTGTTGAAAGAAAAAATCGTCGTGTTTTTTTTATATTTAAAATAATTGCTAATGATAATTTCTAAATTAAAATGCGTGTGCAGAGATTAACTTTGCCTTATAAATATTTAAATTCTACAAGTATGTATAAGTATGTATGTTTATGTACATATATGTATTTACATGCTATATCAGGTAATCGTGTGTGTTTAATATAGAAATATTTTTTTTCAATTGTTAGGTATACATCTTGCGAGTAAACTAAAACAAACGAAAGAAGCTTTGGCCAAAACCTCCCCCAATCAGTCTTCACATATAGCAAATTGCTGCGACCAGCCGAAACGTCAATCCGCGCATGCGCATAAATTCGTTTAATGGAACGCTGCTCTTAACTTATTCCGCATTCCTTCAAAACCGCTCGATATCTACAGCTGTTTCCTTGATGTGTCCTGCTGCATCCACTTCATCACTCCAGTGTGTTTTCTTCTTCGGCTTCTTCAAGGTGTTGGCCAAATTTAGTTCGCTATCCATGAAAGCTGAGTTCAGGTTACCCGTTAGATTGCCGCCTGTGGAAATTACCGACACACCTGAATTGTGTGTAGGCGTCGTAGACACCGAATTGCCTTCTTCAAGGCTTGCGGGTGTATTGTTGCCATTCAGCGTGCAGTTGCGTGTAACACTGCCATTTGCATTGGCTGTGCGCGGACAATTTTTGCAATGTTTAGGTCTAAAATATTGGCGAAAGTTGGGAAAATAAAAATTTAATATATTTTTTTTTTATTGCAAACATAAATTTCCATTCGCTTACTTTTTACCGCTTTTACAGCTGACTAAAGATATTAGCACAGCCAGTATGACCATGGCAGCGAAGAGGCCCGAAAGGCCGGCAATCATTGTCATCATCTCATGTGGTTCGCCATCAGAAGTTACTTTGGTTACTAAAGGTAGAAGAAAATGAAGAATATTAATTTTTTTTATAAGAACTTATAAATAATAGAATCTTAAAAAAATATATAAAGCAAAACTAGTTTTAAAAATTAAATGATATTNCGAAGAGGCCCGAAAGGCCGGCAATCATTGTCATCATCTCATGTGGTTCGCCATCAGAAGTTACTTTGGTTACTAAAGATGGAAGAAAATGAAGAATATTAATTTTTTTTATAAGAACTTATAAATAATAGAATCTTAAAAAAATATATAAAGCAAAACAATAAAATCTAAAAATTAAAAGAAAGTAAGATTAGAAAAACGAAAAAAATTTAATCAAAACAGAAGAAAATAGTACTTAAAAATTAAATAAAATTAAATTAAAATATTTTTATTTGTAAAACAATATCTAAAAGCTAAAGTTACATTAAATTAAAATAGGTAAAACAAAAATAAAGTTAAAAAGATAATAAGATAATGATATAAAAAATATATATCTTTCTTTTTAGAATAATAAAATTTTAAACCAAAAGGAAAATTAAATTAAAAAACAAAACATATTTAATTAAAAAATTTGGTTATTTGTTTTTGTTATTTATGGCCTTATAGCAAGATATACATATGTATATGTATGTAAGAATATATTTATATCCATACCTACATATGTACAACACGTTTGAATCTGGGGTTAGCGAACTATTTCCGATAACAAAACAAATAAACTACTTAAATATTTATGATGTCAAACATATCGAATAAAAATTAAATCAAAGCATCTCGTTTGTGACACATTAATTTGCATAACAAATATTGTTTTGACTTGAAGCAAGATTTATTCGTCATACATATGTACCAGTGGCCTGCACGGCTATGTTATTATCGTACGGGTATGCCTCTGGGGATTACCACTATGCGAAAGTAGCATAGTTACTCGGCATCGTCACATCGTCGCATCGTCGATTTGTAAAATCATCGTAGATTTATATTTTTGGTCCAAAATATATTCGCTAAAGGTATGGATTAAGGAGATAAAGTTGTGTCAGACTATATCGACAAATTTTGTCGTCAAAATATGGCTAGTTAAAACCAGCCTATAATATATGTCCGGCATGTGTCAAGTCTCTGCACGACTCTAAGCATCTCTTCACATGCCCGCAAAACCAAACTTAACTATCGTCCCACTTCCTCGGGTCCAACCCGGTCGGTGTGGTACGGTTGTTGGGTCTTTCTCTGGTTGAGCTTGACGACAACGATTAAGGGACAAACCGTTCTTGGCAGGGCTAAGAAAGTCGCTACAACAACAACAACAAGAATTCATAATAAA